AACATACATACACATCACATACAGAGACACACACTATACAGACACATATCACACAGAGAGACACACCCTACATGGACACACATATCACAGACATACACAGAAACACATCAGATGCAGAGACACACACGCTACATGGACACAGACACAGAGACAGACATGCACACAGATACACATATCACACACAGTGATACTACACAGACGACACACAGACACATGTGTCACACACATACACATATCACATGCATGCACAGACATGCACACACGGACCACACGCAGGGTTCTCACAGCAGCATCAGCCCCCAGTGACCAGCTCTTTCCGTCCTGATCACTGCAGTCCTTGGCTGTGTGGGGACAGGCGACAGTAACACACATAGTGAGAGTGTTTTCAAAACGCCTTCTGAAGTCAGAATTTGGATTCGTTATTTGCATTCGAGAGTTAACGGGGACGAGACGATATTAAGTTATCCAGCTAGGAGGAGAAGCTCAGGCCCTCACAGGTGACACGGGCGTCACCAATGCTCAGCATGACGCAGACGTTTTCCACTACAAGCAGCGACACAGGGCGTCATTTTACACGCACACAGCAGGGCGGGAGCTGTGTGAACTCAGCCTGTTTCTGAAAGGAAAGTAACCGCTCACTGATAGTGATTTCATAAAGCACATTAAATCTCCCTGTACCATTCAATTAACTCAAATCTTTTTTAAATTTACTTTTTATAGCAATGGGGTCTCACTTTTTGCCCAGGCTGGTCTCAAACCCCTGGCCTCAAGCAATCCTCCCACCTCAGCCTCCCAAAGTGTTGGGATGACTGGCATGAGCCACCGTGCCCAGCAACAAACTTAAATCTTAACTGGGCATTGTGTAGGCATCAAGACAAAGGCAGATGTTAAAGCTTGATTATCTCCTAGATGAAACGCCAGCCTGTCCAGTGGATAAAACACTGGTCCTTTCTCTGAGTCGCTAGGTTGCCGTGGGTCAGGTGTGCTCCTTAGAAGCCGTATTTAGGATTTCATTGCACATCACGGAAAGGCTACCATCTGTCTCCTCTCCCTCCCTTCCAGACACGGACGTTTCAAACGTTCCAACAGTGTCACGGCTGCCGTCCAGGCTGACTTGGAGCTGGAGGGGTTCCCAGGACACATCGCCACGGAGGACAAAGGCCTCCAGTTTGGCTCCTCCTTCCAGCGGCACTCGGAGCCCAGCACGCCCACCCAGTACGGAGCGGTGAGGACTGTGCGGACCCAGGGCCTCTTCAGCTACAGAGAGGACTACAGAGCCCCAGTGGACACCACAGACCTGCCCCCTCCCGACCCCTGGCTGGAGCCGTCCCTCGAGACGGTGGAGACGGGCAGGATGTCTCCCTGCCGCAGGGACGGCTCGTGGTTTCTGAAATTGCTGCACACGGAGACCAAGAGGATGGAAGGCTGGTGCAAAGAGATGGAGAGAGAGGCGGAGGAGAACGACCTCTCGGAGGAAAGTAAGAGCTCAGACCTTCCCTGGGGCCCTTTGCACCTTGGGATTTGTCAGCAAAGCAAAAATGGCAGTGCTAATGGGGAAATTCCTTTGGTATCTGAGTGAGTGAAGTAAGTGGGCTTTCTACTCCATCCCGATCAATTATAAGAAAAGATGTAAATACCTGAAAAGAAAAGCAGTTGCTGAAATGTCGAAGGGGGTCCTTTTGTGTGCGTGTTTTGTTTTGTTAGGGAAGTCGAGGTCAATTGTGCTAACGGTTTTCTTGGTAGCACAGTTTTTCTCATATTCCACCCAACAGTTCTCTTGAATTCGGGCAGTGACTTCATTTGGAGCAATCCGATTCTTTTCTAGAATTGTCTCTGTCCCCTGTTTATAAGAAAATGCCTTGGCATTCTGCCAAACGAAGGTTGGTGCTAAGTGGCAGATTTGGCCGTCAGCTGCATGGTGGTGAGCCGTGCTTTCCTCCCGGGTCGGGTGGTGATTTCCCACCAGCTGCAGCCTGCAGGGCTCCCGCAGGTCTCTGCCTCTCCCCAGGGACAGGAACAGCACCCACTGTCCACCTCCTCCCGGTCACCTGCAGAACCCACCACCACGACTGCTCAGAAGCCACATCTTTGCAAATGCCACCTGTCTGTGTTTACAGGCCAAGAATACCAAACGTAATTGCAAAATGCTTAGAACTGACGCTTGTTCTTAACAAAATACGGTTTCACAGAGGTATGCACTCCATGTCTTGGCGAATCATGCTCTTTTTAAAGTGTTTTTTCTTTTTCCACAAATCTGCTTGTACACTTGTTAGATCTCTATACATTCTGAATTTCGCAGGGAAAGCCAATACCCCTGGGAATTTCGCTCTGACGTTCCATTGCTATAGCAAATGGCCGCCGTAGTGGAGGATGCCGTAACCCCAGGAGTGGACGTACGGTGGCGAAATCGTATCGACTGTGGTTTGGAGAGAGCAATGGCCTTGAAGTCTAAGCAATCTGACGGCAGAATTGCTGTGCTGATTTTCAGTTGCTGTGACTTTGGTGCTAACCTGCGAGGAAAGGGAGATGTCGCCTTTGACTGATTCTGCTCTTCCCGGGTTCTCTCCTAATCGTCTGATGCCACGTGCTCTTTACACGGCTTGAGGTTGGACTCTGAGCATTTGGGAGGAGGCGTTGCCATGGTGAGGCATGCCGTACAGCCCCTCGGCCCGACGGCCCGCGTGTCTGTGTGTGGCTGGCGAAGTCCACGCTCAAAACCATGTAAATAATGAAGCCTAAGATGCAGAAAGGAGATTTCTGGAAGCATTGACTCACCCACACCCGCTCTGTGAGATGAGTCACGTGGAATCCCAAGCGATCAGAGAGGTGCAAACGTCAAACTCTGTGCAAATCCTAATAAAATCCACTTCAAATTTTGAAACCAAAGGGTAGTGTAAATGTTGTCCTGGCACTTCATAGCAAATTTAGAATCGGAGTTTGTAGAAGACACATGAAAAGTAAATTAAAAGAGCCAAGTATGTTAATGTTGTACATCGAAGTCAAGGGTTATATCAGGTTCCTTGTAAATTTGCATTCTGATGAGCATTAGTCCTTATCTGAAGCTCTCGGAAAAAAAAAAGTGTCTACACTATGACACAATTCGGGACGTATAGTGGAAAAGAATAAATTGAATTTTCACTCCAAGTTCTTTGCAGTTGTAGGAAGCTGTTTACATTATCGGCATCAGATAGGATTGTTCCCATTCACTGAACAGCAAAATCCTGCCATTAGCAGCTGTGTCGTCAGCTACAGCCTTTGACATTCATTATCTCTTCCCAGCAGTATTCAGTTGGTACCCTTTATAATAACTGCTCTGCATTAAATCAATACCAAGATGTTGCACATCTGTTCCTGTTGGGCTAAAGAGCATAAATTGAAGTACTTTGTATCAACAGTTCATTTGGATTCCAGTTTAAGAGGAAAGTGAAAATTGGGGGTTAAACTTGAAATTTTATAAAACTGAATGACATTTTCATTACAATTTGAGAAAGCATATAGGCGGTGAAACAAGTGCACTCAATTGCCCACTTCTGTATATTCCCCCGGCAACAACTTGATTAAACCAATCATCAATTATGCAGGTTATGAAATACAAAAGAAATAGAAATTCAACATTTCAAGAGCAAAGGTGATCCCCCCTCAGCGTCAGTGAGACGAGGCTGCGGAAACGTGTTCAGCGTGGGGCTGTCGTGTGTGAGCAAAGGATGAAGAGCTTTCACTCTCTGCCCTCCCCAGACACTGCTCGAACCCGGCTGCCTGCCCTGGCCTCCTGGGCCCGGCCGCTCCACCATCCACCTCCACTCCCTGCACTCCCAAGATGGAGCCTGGCCAGACCCTCCCCCGCCCTGTCCTCCGCCGCGTCCAGGGGCTCCCGTCCTGGTCCTCCTGCCCACGCCCCGTCTGGCTGGCAGATCAATTCCAAGGGGGTGGACGGGATGGGGTATGGACAGGAAAAGCAACCCTCTTGGAGGTGGTTTGCAAAAAGGCACAGGCCGGGTATCAAGATGCCTGACAAACTACCACTCTTCTTTTTTAAACAAAACCGAAAGGATGCCAAAGTGTTACCCCATTTATTCCTTTTATTAAAAGTTATGGGTTATTTTTACTCTTTTTAACATCCTAGATGCAATCTAGAATTGGATGGTGCTAGGGAGTTACCGTCAAGCTCTCAAGGACGGTGAGGACACTGCTGTTTTAGGATGACGGCAGGTGAAGTGCCGGCCACAACCTACCTCCGAACGGCGCAGGGAAAACGAGCATACACGTGGCAAATGCTAATTGCAGCTTCTGAGTGAGGGGGATACAGGTGTTTATTATACTTCTCTTTCAGTTTTTCTGCATGTGTAAAATTTTTCATAATAAAACTTTGGGAAAGAAAACAATCTGGGTTCGTTTCGGAAAAATAAGAAAATGCAGACAAATAAGCAAGCTTTAACCGTGTTATCCTACCCAGGAGAACATCACTTTTAAGAACACGTTATACATATAACGCCAGATGGTCAATTTCCGAAAAATGAGCGATGCACGACGCACAGTTTCATGAGTGGCTTCTTTCACATCACAACATGCCGGGAACCCTTTCGAATCAATAGGTCATTTCGGGAACTTCATTTTTGGGAGCCTCATAACATTTTATCGCACGGCCGTTAAGCCCTCTGAGCACGATTGCCGACTCCATGACGGCAGCAGCGTCTTCTCACTGTCACGATCTTCCCTGTGGCCTCTGCGCAGCCCCTTCGCGAGTAAGACACATCTCAGCTTTGCCAGAGAGAGCTGCCCACGGCTCACTGGAAATTACTTAACGGAAGCCAAGGGAAGAACAAATATCAATGTATTTCTCTAACAATGAAGGGAAAACAGGAAGCGCCTGGTGTCTGGTCACACGGCCCGTCTTCTAGCTCGTCCGCACAGCGACAGGAGAACAATCTGCACATCCCAAACGAGGCAGGCCCCTGCAGCACAGGCCGCCTTTCTGGTCTGAGCTTCTCCCAGTGCCCGCGAGGAACGTCCTTACGGTTGGCGTCTGGTGGTCTCTGAACTTCCCCCGCGTCGAGGGTGGGGCAGGCGGAAGGCAGGTGTCCCCAGGGCCGTGTCCTGCGCCACAGACCCAGAGTGGGTCTCCAGTGAAGGGGTCAGTGCCGCTGCGACCCCTCGCTCCCTGGGACGCTGCTGCTCCTGTTTCACTGACCCTGTCTTGAAACCGTTCGTTTGTTTTTCCAACAGTTCTCGGCAAGATCCGGAGTGCAGTGGGGAGCGCGCAGCTTCTCATGTCCCAGAAATTCCAGCAGTTTTACTGGCTTTGCCAACAGAACATGGTAAGTGACCTCCGAGGGCCTGGTCCCATAACCGAGCTGACGCGTGTCCGTCTGTCCTAGACGTCCTCGCTGTTCTTACAGCGCATGCGTGGGTGGGACACTGGACGGGTGCATGGTGAAGACACTTCCTGCTCTGGGCGCAGACGCGCTGTGGGCCTGGTCTAGATGTGCCGCCCGGCGGGGCCGCAGGGGCCTGCTGGCGGCGACCGGGGCAGGGTTAGGGTTAGGGTTAGGGTTAGGGGCGCCCAGCAGCGGGGGGAGGTCACGTCTTTGCAGCTGGCCTTTCTCCCAGAGAGTCTCAGAAGAGATGAGATGAAAACTGCTATGACAGCCAGTGTCACAAACAAAGAAAATGATCTGAGGTTTTGGAAACAAAAACACATAAACAACCACATCTGAAGAAATTTTAGAAATAATTTAGCCTCTATATTTTGTAGTCAGGAGTGAACAAATATACCATCAACTGAGTCATTAATACAGTTGGCGTTAAGCTTGGCTCTTCTTGGCAATCAAAAGGGAGGAAACTATATATTTATATATACTGACATATAATAATAACATGTTTATATGTACTTATGCATACATATTAATATATATTTACAGATACTTACAGATACTTGTAAATATATTTATGTATGCTACATGTTTACATGTATACACAAATATATACACATGTATTCTTTCCTTAGCTGACTAAAGAAAGTATTCACTTAATTTTACGAGAAATAAATAGCACTATTTATAGCCTATTTATAGGCTGTTTCACAATCCATACATTGATTTTTTTTTTCAGATGAGACATTTTCAGTAAAATGCAAATAGGTCTCTGCTGGGCCTCTCGCAACAAAGGCTCCAGGAGTTTGATTCTGTTTTGTTTTGCTTTTTCGTCTGCGAGGAGACACAGACACGCTCTTCCGCATCAAAGGGAGCGCACGCACGTCAGAGTTACCAGTTCACGTCTTTCAATTAGGATGGTTAAAAACTATACCTTCTCTAATATTTTCCAGTACGCACCATTAAAGTTCACCGTGAAAGTTAGAGGGTCGCCTGTCTCCCAGGACATAGTCACAACCAGCATTTAAAAGGAGAGGACAGGAAGGCGTCCGGTTCCGTGAAGGACACGTAGCCGCATAAACGTCCCATTGTCCCGTTCCTGTGGGTGTTCCGGCCTCCTCCCTGGGAGCTATTGGGTCGTGACCCCTAAAGGAACTGACTCGGGCTGTGGAAAAACATGGCGTCGTATTGCGCAGGGTCAGGTGAACCTGGGCAGCCACGGTGTCAGGAATCCGCAGCCCAAAGTGCAGGGACGGGCTGTCAAACGTCGGCGTCCTCTCCAGACGCAGCGAACTTCCGACTTCAAACTGTCCGTCCTGATATTGCTGGTGCCCTTTGAACCTTGACGTAGCCGGCGTGGCTGCGTCCTCTTGTGGCTGCTATTCGGGATTAGCACAAAACTCCCGAGGCATCTGCTGGTGAAGGAGGGTGGGTCTGAGGCAGCCTGGGGGCGGGGGGAGGAAACAGGGCAGGTGCTTCGCGCATCACGGCCAGACCGTCCACGGGTCCAGGCAGTGGAGCTGCTGACAGCTGCTGGAAGCGCTGGGGCAGGTAACTGAGCTTCACGCCAAAGCTGTGGCCCTAGGCGTTGTCAGAACCCCACCAGATATGTAGGGCGGACGAGGCCGACGTCCTTCAAGGTGAGGATGTGTAGGCGACTCGCGAGGTAGCGTGTGTGCGGGTCACGCTGGACAGACTCTGCTCACGAAGCTCATAGCGCAACTCGTATGCGTGCGGGAGCAGCAATGTGGCAGCCCAGGAGGGTGGTTAGAAACGCAGCGTCGCGTGCAGACCTGCCTGCCGGACTCGCAGCTTAACTAGACCACGGGGCCGAGTGCCCAAGCACACGCTCACACGCAGGGGTGCTCCAGACCGGACCGTGGGGCGTCCAGGTTCATATCGAACGGCCTCGCGATGTCAGAGCCAGGGAGCTGTCTGAGTTTTAAATGACTGCAGTTGGACGAGGCTGTGTGACTCTGCGTTGCTTTGCTGGCAGAGTGGGGATGGCACAGCCATTGAGTTTTTAAAAAAATTTATAACCATATCATTGTATCTGAATGCCCAGTGGGTACAGATGCGGCCACCACCCCCACAAAGAGAGAACAGAAGACACAGAACCAGGCTGAGTGTGCCTGGCGACACCAAAGCCAGCATGGCTGCAGCTGCTGCATGTCTGAGCTAAGGCTGCTCTGCCAGCCTCAGGGTGGTGGGAGCCTCGGTTGGCTGCTGAGGGCGTCCACTGTGACTGTCCCTTTGAGGATGTGACCAGAGCACAGCACCCCCCCGCGTGGACCCGGGCGGAGCCTCTGCTGGGCTTCCCCGACACGGTCAGGCAGCACCTGCCACACCCACAGAAGGAGAAGGTTCTCATATCTGCAAAGTCTTCCAGAAGGAAGGCACAGACCTCCCGGGGACACTCGGAGGAGTCCTACCCGGCTCCTCTGGGTGTGGGGAACTCGCTCGCACCAGCCTCAGCTCCCCTGGACGGCAGGAGCCAGTGGCCTTCTTGATCCTCTTCGGCGTCGGTGCAGAGCGTGGTGATAGCATACGTGGGGCCAGACTCCCCCGGTCCTGGGCCTCCTGCGTGGAGCCTTCCCGTGGCCTGGCCGGGCTTGAGCAGCCCAAGGTCGCCCCCTTGTGGTCCTGGAGAGGAGCCGCCGTCCTGGCCCCTCCAAGCCTCAGCTGTCCTGTCTCTGGGCACAGGCTGCCTGCTGGCCAGTTCCGGAGCCAAACCGTGAAAGGGACTTTCCGCCCAGCCAGATGCTCGTGTGGTGCCTTCCGTGAGCTTCTGAGGAGCAAGCGCCACTGTGAGCAGTTCAGGGAAGTGTCCGCCCACCAGAAACTTCTCTGTTCAAGGCTCCCAATCCCAGACAGCCCCCTCTGAATCAAGAGGACCACACCCAGGAAAACCATTAAAGTTTAAATGCAGGCGCCTGGTGGGAACCGTGTCCCATCAGGCACTGGGCAGAGAAAAGAAACACGTCTTCTGGCCCCGGTGGCCCAGGGGCTGCAGATTGGTGGCGTCACCTGCCTCTGGGCCCGTCAGTGAGGGCTGCTTTGCTCCTTCAGGAGATTTGCTTCCCTCCTCCCTCCCCCAGGGGCAAACTAGACACACGTTACCTTCGTAAGGTGTCTGGACTGTCGGAATCAGAGCTAAGACCCCTCAGAAAACAAACACAGAGGACGAGGACGGGCTCCAAGCCCACTCCCTCGCCACCGCCGCCGACACCGCAGCAGAGCCGTGGCCCCGCCCCTTCTGCATGACCCACAGCGACCTAAGCACGCCCCTGCCTCTGTGAGCTGCCGAGAGCCCCCTCGCTAGCAGGCCCGGCGTTTTCAGGCTGGAGCGGCGAACGGATGTACTGCGTGTTTTTAAACTGTTAGCAAATACTTGTGCTAAAGCAAACTGTTACGGAATCGTGTTAAGCCTTCTCAAATATTTGCTTCGGTGTTTGAATTAGCCAGGCTTCTCTCTGATCCCGTCCCTCGAGAGGCGCCGTGGGAAGAGCGGCCTCGCCGAGCCCTCTGCCCACGGAGCCCCCTTGTGTGTCCCCAGGACCCCAGCGCCATGCCCAGACCCACCTCCCAGGACCTGGCCGGGTACTGGGACATGCTGCAGCTCTCCGTGGAGGACGTCAGCATGAAGTTCGACGAGCTGCACCAGCTGAAGCTCAACGACTGGAAGATCATAGAGTCGCCGGAAAGAAAGGTAAGGACGCCCGCGCCGCGTGGGTCCCTGCGAACCGCCCTTCCGGGGCTCCTGGCATCTGACCCAACTGCAGAATGGTCCGCTCCAAAGGCTGTGCGGTGCGGGGTTTCCCAGTGTGGGGTTAGCAGCACAGGGTCGAGTTTACATGCGTGCGTATGACTGTGTCCCTGTGCACACGTGTATGTGTCCATGTGCACAGCACATGTGCGCGAGCACGCGTGCAGACTGGGGCGTGTGTGGTTAGCGACAGTGTCCTCCCTGTTCTGTCTCCTGTACACGGGCAGCTCAGAGAGACGCCAGCCAAACTCACGTGCACACCTCTAGCCTCTGTCTTAAGGGCATCCAGCTCTGAATTATTTTGATTAAAACTTTATTTTGGTTCTATTAAGCTGGTTTCCCACAGGGAAAGTTCTAGGTCTGGTTAAAGTGACTATCTCCTATTCAAATACACCTTCTACTTGTAGAAGTTAGAGGCAAACTTGTAGAAGTCTGGAGTTAGAGGCAAGGTGACATTTTAAACCTTGTGGAACCGTTTGGTGACATAATCTTCCTACAGATCTATCAGCCTCAGCCCTTAAAATAGGCTGAAAATTTCCATTAGATTCCAACCCTGGTATTTGCCTCCTCCGTGATGGTATCGGCTTCAGCAGAGCTAGCACACAGGTCTGGGTTAGCAATAAATACCTTCATTTCCTAATATGTTAGAGAAGTTCTGAGTCGTTATAATCTGATTTATCCAGACAGACATTATCAATTAAAATAAAACGATAAAGAAACTCAATCCAGCACACTTGGGGAAGTGGCGCCTGCTGTACAGCGAGGCTCGCGTCTAGGTGGTTACAGGGAAGCCCTGCCATGCGTCACCGCGGCCTGCGCTTCCCCGAAGGCGCCGTTGGCAGCTGCAGCTGCAGGCTGGCTGCGCGCGGTAACGGGGAGGGCGCGGGAAGGTGCTACGGCCGTGGTGGGACGACCCACTGTTTGCTCCTGAAGTGAAGGAGAGAGGCTAAGTGACGAGCCCAGGTGGCAGGTTGTTCTAACGGATACGAAAACAGACTTCGCTTAAGTTAGTCCAGGTGTGCGCGGCGACGCTCTCCAGCTTTCATTCGCTGGTAACCGAGAGCTGCTACGAGCCCATCTGCCTAAGCTGCGCGTAGAGAATGGTTCTCGCGGTGCACGTGGCTCTTTGCGAGGCCAGAGCACCCCCAGCCCAGACAGGGAGCGGCCCCCAGCCCGTCAGCATGGCGCGGCCCCACCCTCAGAGCGCCCTGCCCCTCTGCACGCATCTCTTAGCGCTCGGTGGTCCGGGGCTTCACAGACGCCCGATGGACCCTCTTCTACGGCATCTCTCCTGGGGCTCGACAGCCCCCTGGAGAGGGGACTCCCACAAGCAGGTCCGAATGTCAGAGGACACGGAGGAGGAAGAGAGAGGGACACAGCCTCCTGCTTAATGCAGGAGCTGCCTGTTAAAATAGCTGAAAAGTCGCTGTGAACCAATTACCCCTTGTTTTAGACGTGCCAGAAAGCAGGAAAGAGTGCCTGCTTCCGGCCTGCGTCTTACAGGAGCCGAAGTTTCAGATGCCAGCATGGTCTTCTTGCCAAACGCCCTCAGTCACCCCGGCACTGGGACAGGTGTCCCCGCCAATCACAGTGCTGCTTCTCTCCCACTGTCCGCACTCAGGCTCCCTTTGGACTTTTCCAGAGGCTGAAGGAAGGACACAGGTGTGGGGTTTTGGTGTTTTTCCCCCACAACCAGGTATCTGCTAAGAAAAGGGGAGGGGTTCTGGCCCCTTCCGTAGCGGGCTCTTTCCCGGGCAACGAACATGGCAGTGTGGAGTTCCCGTCGGAGCTCCACGCGGAAGCGGAGTCAGAGGGTCGCCGGCTTCCTTATTTGGGGACAGCTTAGCTGACACAACACAGTCTGGATTCAGACTTTCACCGGAACAGTTACGGCGGTATCTGCTGCATTTGTTGCAGAATTGCGAAAATTATCCTTCTGAAAAAGGTGTGCACATGTGCTGGTGTGGCTTGAGAACCGAGCTAACGGCCAAAAATAACTGTTTGCATCTTTTCACCAAGCAAGTGGCACGTAACTCGTTACACACACACGTATATACACATACATGCACACTGTTCGTGCCGGTGGGGTTTCAGGCCAATAATAGAATTTGGCCAGCATTTCTCTGGGACAGCCACCCAGGTAAGAGGATTTTATGAACATTCTTGGAATCCCGGAGTCTGTTGAAAATCCTGCAGCGTGTACCAGGGAAGTCTAGACCTCCTGTGATGCCCAGAGCCTGGCACCGTATGGATTTGCCAACGCTCAGAGGGGAGGCCGTGCTGTGCACAGCGCGGGAGGAGGGTGAGTGTTGCTGTAGCAATAATGTAAAATTAAGTCACTGACGACAGGGAGGTGAGGTGTTAATGTGCAGAATTTGTTTTCTTATTTGCACGCACAATCCCAAACTTCTCTGCCCCCTTTGACGAATTCGAGGGAGCTTATAGAAATTATATACCACGCAAAAGGGGAGGCCATGACCACGGGAGCTGGGGACCAGGGAAAGCGAGAGTAGAACACGAATCTGCACCATGCGGTTCGCAGCGGGGCGCACAGACCCGGGGCAGCTACGCTCATGCTCAGTCGGTGCCCTGCTCTGACCATCTGCCAATTTTGACTTGTGATGCTTTTCAGGAAGAAAGAAAGGTCCCCCCTCCAATACCAAAGAAGCCCCCCAAAGGGAAATTCCCCATTACCAGAGAAAAGTCCCTGGACCTGCCCGACAGACAGCGCCAAGAAGCCCGCAGACGGCTCATGGCCGCCAAGAGAGCCGCGTCCTTCCGCCAGAACTCGGCCGCCGAGCGGGCGGACAGCATCGAGATCTACATTCCCGAGGCCCAGACCCGGCTCTGAGGGCGGGAGGCGGCAGCACCCACCGTTCTGCTTTTCTGTTTAACACGACGCTTGTACAGTTTGTCGCCTACCTGGTGATTTCTGTCTCTTCTCCTCCACCGAGTCCACCCCACTGTCGTGTTCCTTGTGCCATAAACCGGGGGATGCTACGGATGTCCTCAGCGTCTGCTGAGCTCGTGGCAAGAATGACTTTTTTTTTAACCGATAGCCTGACTTGCAATGAGCTCTGATGGGCTTGGTGAGACCAACTTACCCTCCTTGTTCTCAGAGGACCGGGACCCAGCTTCCATTTTGTTATTTATACTTTTATAAATCGTGTGATGATTAGAGGTAAGAATAGCAAATAACTGTAAACGGGTGCATCTCACCGCTCCCTAGAGGTACCAGACGACCCAGTGGAAGGTGCTACAACCTGAGCGCAGGAAAGAAAGACCCGTTTCCCTCCCGAGCCTCGAGCTGCCCTCCAGTCCCGCCACGCACCGGCCACGCCGCGGTCCTCGTCCTCCTCGTCATGAGCGGAGAACCTTAGGCTCCTTGCATCGAGTGTATGGTGAAGAAAGTGATCTCTCCAGCCACCAAACGCCCTACTCTGTGGTTCCCCCAAAACCCGGGGGATTCCAAGTCTGAACCCATAAAAGCACCCTGCAGAGTATCCACACATTCGACAAATAAGCCAACCGTCCCCACGAGGAAGTTACGCGTGAAGAGAGATCGGGGCCTTAAGAAAGGCTGGGAGCATAAAGAGAAAAATATTGTCCTTACGTCTGTGAAGCAGTTACTGTATTTTTTAGTTCTTTGTAACTTCAAGTATTATACCCAGTGTTTTCTTTAAGTTTCACCATCTACGCTACATGTGATTTTTTTTACATATGTATGTATTTATATCCTCGAATTGTTCTATCAGATGACTGTCCAGGGTATCCTTAAAGGAAAAAGTTCGCTTGTTTAAAACGACAGTTGTGATGTTGTACAAAGTTTCAGGACTATGAGTGTGAGTGCTAAGTGTATCTCAGTTGAAACGTAAAGAAGAAATGCAGTTTACACTTGTATTTTTCCAGGATTCTTTGTCCTGTGCAGTATTGCTGAAGTCAAGAGTGTATTTCTTGCCTGTGTGAGACATGAAGGGAAAAAGAGGTCACATATTGTGACTTCCAGCTGTGGAATTTAAAAAAAAAAAGTAATTAGTGTTCATGACTCTGATTGGCACCCAAGCAAACGGGAACGACTCTGACGAATAGGGTCTCCACGCGTGTAGTTAAATCTGGACGCAGCGATCACTGTTCCAACACGACGTCTGTGTCGCAGTCCAGACACGGCTCCGAAGGAAAAGCCGTCGGATCTTCTCGCTGGTCTCCAGGTCGGAGTTCTCACTGCTGCTCGAGGCCCAGGCAGGATTGCAGCTGGAGGCAGATATTCCCACCCAGACACCAGGTCTTCCCTCCCGCGGCTCTAGGAGTGCCAGGCACTCAGCGTGGGCAGAGCAGCTTCGCTCGCCCGGGTAGCACTTTGTTTTCTCACCCCGATTCGCACTTTAGAACGCACCTGCTCCCCGTGCCACCCGAGACGTGTCACGAGTTCGGCGAGGCGGTCCCACCGTCGGGCGTCTGTGAGACTGCGACTCTCCCTTTTCCTCACATTCCACATTCCACCGAGCATGGGGTTCACGGGGGGCAGGGTTGATATTAAAGCATGTTTAGCTTCAAAGTTTTACTTTTTTAAAGCCGAGTAGTTAAGAATTCCCTGTAAAAACGAAACCCTGTAAATTGAGCCTCATATCTGGTATATATTTTACCAAACAGCCTTAAAATATATTTGGAAGCAAAAATCAGTATGAATGTATATCCTTGAAAAATGCAAAAAAAAAAAGATCCCTGAAATATTCTTCTATAAATGAACCCTACTTCCCCAGAGTGTTCAAAGCATTTTTCTACCTAAATAAACACCTAAATCCTGAGTAGTGTACAGTAATGATGCTTCTTCCTATAGTCACTCTTCTATGTTAAAGCCAAGTGTATTCGCAAGTATTGGCATTTTAGACTTTAAAAAGGATGTGTCATTTAAGATGAACTGCTGTTTAGATCTAACCACAGAAAAGCAAAGTCAGTGCCTGCTCCCAGTGGAAGGAAATGTGAGATGTGTCCGTTCACGCCACCCGCGCACACCGGCGTGTCCAGTGGCAGCTGATGTGTTTGACCCATTTCCTTGAACTCACACGAAACACATGAAAGCAAATTGTGAAATTAGACAAGAATTACTTGTCTTAGCTCCGAGATTCCATGATGCCAACTTGAACGAAAACATTCATTGGAGTTGGATTAATTTTTTATGTTTCATATACTCGTGTTTACTTTACAATCCCCAAAAGTCTTGGTCTAAACCATCCCTCTGTGAGCGAATTCACCTCCCGCTGAATTGTAAGGGGTTGCCGGCGCCGGCGCTGGCTTGAAGCGCCGGGGTGGGGACTATGTGTGCGCCCCTGTCTGGTCCCCCACCTTCCAAAGAAGACTGTTTCATGGTAGAACAGACACCCGCTGCTAGATGTGATGGAACGTCACCTGTTCATGTCACATAATTCAGTGCAATATACTCAGTTCTCACACAGGTGACATTCGATCATGAGACACAGAAGATAAGCCATGTTTATGTATTTGTACATGTAAAGAAAATAAAACTGTTTATGAGACTCGTGTTCTCCACCCAAGCTAGCTACTTCCAGCCGCTTCCAGCAGATACATAGTATAGAGAGCTCCTGTGCTCATTTCATCCTATTTAGAATATAATTTTAATAAAACATGATACATAAATTTGAGAACATGATTGAAAATAATAACAGAACCTTCCAGGGACGTCACCGTGAAAGAAGGTGTGGTTCCGTCCGTAACCACACTGCTGTGTGCCCTAAAGATAGCGCCACTGACCGGTGGAACCGGATACCCCTTTAGAACTCACTTCCCTCACAGCAACAAGCGGACAGAAGGACGCTGAAGGCTTAGTTCACACGACGAAACGCAAGTGTGGTAAACGGGACTGCAGAGTCTAGCCCAGGGAGGAGAACGCCGCTAGTTAACGCCAGGGCTTTCAACGTAGCTCATCGCCTACATCTTCGTGTGTCATTGTCGTGTTTGGAGTGAAACTAGTTGTGACCAGTGACAATTTTTATCATATTTTTCTCAGCAACTTTATATCACCATCCTGGAATGGTGTATAAAGAATTGAACTGTCTGCTGGGCGCGGTGGCTCACGTCTGTAATCCTAGCACTCTGGGAGGCCGAGGCGGGCGGATTGTTTGAGCTCAGGAGTTCGAGACCAGCCTGAGCAAGAGCGAGACCCCGTCTCTACCAAAAATAGAAAGAAATTAATTGGACAACTAAAAATATATAGAAAAAATGAGCCGGGCATGGTGGCGCATGCCTGTAGTCCCAGCTACTTGGGAGGCTGAGGCAGTAGGATCGCTTGAGCCCAGGAGTTTGAGGTTGCTGTGAGCTAGGCTGACGCCACAGCACTCTAGCCCGGGCAACACAGTGAGACTCTGTCTCAAAAAAAAAAAAGAATTGAACTGTTGATGAAACCAAACAATTACATTTTACCTAAAAGGAAATGTTGATGTTTTCAACTTCAAATCAATTCTAAAGACTTCAAGCGTTTAATGGGAAGGCGTATAATCAGGAAAAAATACAAATTATATTTAAAGGTGTCTCTTAAAAAAAGAAAAATCCACAGAAATCAGTGACCTGCAACGTTGCGTCCGTCTCCCCTGCTGGCTCTTGTGAACATGGCCAAACCTACGATGAGACGGGGACAGAGGCGCGGAGCCTGAGGACGCACGGGACCGGATCGTCTCTGGGGGTGCGTGTCTTGTTTGCCCTGTCTTGACTCTGCCTTTCCAGAGCCACACGAAGTAGCCACTGTGTCCACCCATTCAATTAAAAGACCCTGAATTTGTACCTTCACTCATCTCTGCTGTTTTGTTAGGTCCTTGTAGGCCCGGCCGCCCCGCTCCAGGACGGAATCTCGCGGGAAAGCAAAGTAACACTGCGGACGTGTGGTCGGAGCTGTAGCGGCCGTGGGGTGCGCTCTTTCGGGGACAGCTCTCCGGTTTGGGCCAAACCTTTCGGTGGCGAGTGGGAATGGAGAGGCAGATCTTTTTCTGTTTGCCGTAGATGGGTCAAATTCAAACCCGACCTCCTGTGGCCCTGAGGATTTAGAGCCCAGGGACCATCCAAGGGACACAGCGAGTATCAGCCTTGTTCGGAATTCTGACAGGTACACCAGAACATTCAGCCGGACAGAGGGTGCCACGCTCCGTGTCTGAACCGGCCCAGGCTGACCTAGGCCAGCAGGACGGTTGTCATCTGTGACATTGGAGACCTCCGTGCGTCCAGGAGGGAGAGGTAGCAGGAAACACGTGTGAGTGTGTGTCCCGGTGCAAGAGTAAAAGCATTGCCCAAAACGGTACCTAGATCCTGCCCTTGGTTCACGCCCGTCCTGCCCGTGAGCGTAGAAACAGGTCCCTCCAAAATGGGCCTAAATAATTATCTTCTGCATATTCATGTGTGTTCATTTCCCAGCCATCTTTTTCTCAAGACTTGAACTTCATTTTTTATTTTTTACTACAAATTCAACATGCGAGGTTAAGACAGTGGTTTTAAACTCTACTCCCCTGGAAGCTTCTGAGTGTTTTCTTGTTTCTATCTGCGTGTTTGTTTACACTTCTTTGCAGGTGTGTGTTGAACACAAGGTTCAAAAACTCGAAAATAAAATCGAAGCCCACATGCTTGAGAGAGAAAGCACAGTCAGTCTCTGAGCCGTGAGCGTTGTTAGCGACACGGCTAGAGCGATGACACTGGCTTCGTCCAGCGCCCTGTGCCCTGTTGCAGAACACGCCACGCCAGGTCACACCGCGACCCTGGGCCTGGCCTGGTCTTGGCTCTGTCGCGTTGTGAGCAGTGAGCAGAGCTCGAGGAAAGGGCTAAACGTGCTTTAGAAACGAGGGATCAGTT